TTACTGGAAAACCGCCAGCGTTTTATAATAAATTGCCAGTTTGTCAGGTCTTGGTCTCTGGAAATTAAAAACAAAAAAGTGTGCCAGTATTTTATTTACTACATTTCAAAAATATTATTTAAAAGAATGAACAGATTTATACAAAAAAAATCTTAAAATAGATATTTAATATTCTGAGATGATTACATTTAAGTATTTAAACTATTTCACGCGGAAAATATGATTCAGCATTAACATTTTCGCCTCTCGTCTTTGAAAAGTTTCATTTTTGTCAGTTTATATACATATCCATTCATCATCATAATACAAACACAACGGAAGCAAACAAAATCAAGAATCACCGTAGCAAGTTTTTTTTATTATTATATAATAAATAAAAAGAAAACAGATCGAATAGAAAAAGAATAGAGCAAGCTAGTGTTAGAGGCCTTTTTTTCCTTTTTGTTAATTGTATAATAAATAAAAGAAAATAAATAGAATACAAAAAGAATAGAGAAGCTAGTGTTAGTTGTTTTTTTTTGTTTTTGTTTTTTTAGAAAAAAAAGCAGTTAGTAAATGAATAAAGTGCAAGTCTAAAAGTCTATTTTTTTTTTAAGAATACAATTAGAATAGAGAGTGCTAGTTGTTGAATAGACACTATAGAGAACAAAAAAGTAACGTAATATCTAAACGTGTAAGTTATGCGGAGGGAAAAGAAGCAGCGGCAGTCACGACTTCTTTAATGAAAAGCAGATGGTGAACAGACACAGAAACTTTCATTCTGGCCTACTCTCTCATGTAATACTGTTAACCAGATACACTATGTTTCTCTAATGACGCCTGCTCTGAGCTATGCAGTGACAGCTGTGGACGCTCAGGATTTCCCCGGTATTCCCGTTTGCGAGTTTACCAACTTTCTACTATGGAGAAAGTTAGGATTTGTGAATATTTACAACGTAAAGAGACGTTGACCAGCGGACCTCTACGATTGGCTGAACTAAAGACTTCGCGATACTAATCGAGTTCGGTGATTGGACGCTCAGGGTCTGTTACCAAGCAACGTCATCATTGCCTATTTAATATTCATAAGCTAGCGCTTCGCCATAGTAGGGTAGGTAGTTTGGTGGCCTGATATTCCTGCTCCGCTGACCTGAATGAACTCGGCGATGACATGTTGAGACACGCAGAACTCAACGAATCAAAAGCCCCAAGACTGGTTAACTGACTTTTATATAATACGAACTAACTTTCACAAATGTTCCTACCTTCACTGAATACTGATGCGTCGTCGTCCCCGCGATTAACGCTTGACACTTAGGTCGCGTTTGAACCAGAACAAAGGCAGAGTGACTTAAACAGAATAAACGGCAAATATAAAAAGATGAGACGGGAATAATACAGAAATAAAGTTACATACCAGTGCCAGCTGCGCTGACTCGACTCATTTCGATGTAGGAAAACGGTTCTGCAGACGATGATGACATCTTTTCTTTAACAATGGATCGTGTTGCAGAAGTGAATTAAGCCCTTTTAAATAATGTAAATCGTAACGTCAAATAGTTATAAACGACTGTCCGGTTGCTATATCTAAGATAACGAATTAAAAACGGCTTAACAATGTTAAAAAGGCGAAAAATGCCCGTTTTTCTTGTCTTAATCCAAGTGCCCAGTTGTTAGAATTTGGCAGCCAGTCATTCAAAATAAAACTTAGCAATAAAGCTTAGAATCGTCTGCCAGAATAGCATTCATGATCAGCACCTTCATAACACCATGTACTTATCTAAATATCCAAATGAACGGCGTGCCGTGAGTAAATCAAACTCTTACAAGGTTTGGGACGATTTAAGCGTCTGAGGACGATACCATTGATCTGCATGGGGGAAACTTTAAACTGGATGTCGTTGTGTTGTTGTTGTTATTATTACTTTGTTGATATTGTACTCTGCCTTTGCTTTTATAAGAATCTTGAGTGAAACATATTTTTTAAAATTGTGTTTTAATTATATATACTTATTTAAAGCCACTCTTGTGTTAATGTTAAATTGTCACCCCCCTCTCGCCGCGATTATGCTACGGTCCGTTTTTGTCCTGCATTGTGCCGTTGGTACCTTTCTCGAACAACTTGTTTAAAGTCATAATTCTGAGTTTTATGCACACAAACACTGTCATTTATTAGGTTTAAGAAATAATAAAACTGTCTAAATGTGTCAAGAAAAATGTCATGACGATTTTGAAGCTCTTAAATGTTTAAAAGGTCATGCTGCGTTTCGTGCCAGCTGCACACAGGGGGAGTTCCCTCAGTAGGAAAACTGTACTGTTGGCATTGTCTGCCTTCTGACAGTGAAAGTTGCACACTTAAATAACTAGTGTGTCTTAATATCAATTTTTATATGTAATACAGACCTGCAATGGCTGCCATATATATTAAGACACAAATGCTATGTGCGTAGGCCTGGTTTAACTGGAAAGGCCTTATAAGCAGTTGCCAGTTTTCTGTTCTTCCAGTTCCTTCCTATATATCCATTTCAGTTTTAGTTTTAGCTTACTACATCTTCTCTTTAATCCTCTTCATAGTATATAAGGCCGCTTAGCTTAGTACATCGAGGTAAACAAAAGTTTGCCTTAACAACTAGCTGACCTAAAAAGTTTTTATATTTTATTTTATTTATAGTGCAAGTAATGACAAAAAAGTGTATGCTTTTAATTTTAGTTTTAGTTAACAAACCAGCATTTTACGTTTACGTTTAAAAATACATACAGGTACATCTCAAAAAATTAGAATATCATGAAAAAGGTCAATATTTGTTGTCACTCATTTCAGAAAGTGAAACCCATGTATTATATCGATTCGTCCCGCCGTCCTTATGAAGAGCGGCTTTGATGACGTTGCGCAAGCAACCAATCAAAAGTCTGTGCTAAGCGCTTCTGTAACCTGAAGACACGCCCACCACAATAAACAGCCGTGTACGTAACTAAAGACACGCCCACCACGCGCGATCAGCTGTCAAGATTGTTTCACGTTGCTCGTTAGTTTTTTTAATGACAAACAAACAGAAAGCGACAGTTGCGCTATTAGAAACTCTCAACTGTACGCAAACTGGACTAGCAGTACTGTGTTCTTCTTCCAAGCGTTAGCTGCAGTAATAAGATTATTCCTCTAGAGGAGAAAACAGGCCCGAATGCTTGAAGTTTAACTGAACACTGTCAACTGTTGCATCACGTCTATAATGGTGAGTTACTTTATTTTCTGCTCACTAACAAACTACATGGCGTGTAAGAGATGAAGTGATCTAAATACTACTTTACAGTGGCAAGTTTGATCTCTGATTGAACTTTTAAAAAACAAGAAAATAAAAGAAAAAAGTTCAAGAGCCATACAAGTGTTATGTGGGTATTATAAGTTCTTGTAGGTGAAAGAAAATTTTGCATGCATTTATTACGTGTAATCTTTCAGTTCTTTTTACAACGTTTTGTTCAAATAGCTACTGTGCAGACTATACCACAGTAAAAAAAAAAATTATATATATATCATATTTCCTAATACATAAATATACTCTCTACATTTCTTTCTTCTATACCTTCTCTAAAAAAATATTTAATATAAAGTTTTTTTTAAAAGCATTTAAAAATATATTTTGCCCTTGATGTATTTATTTCCAAGAAAATACAGTCACATATGAGGAAAACTTATTTGTTGTCTGTAACGTCAAACATACGACACATTTGAATAAAAAAATATAATGAATAAATAATAATAATGAATAAAAATAAATAATGAATAGTTTGTTGTATTAGGTTGAAACAGTAAATATATTTTCAATTTCATTTTCATTTTGGCCAATTTATTTACTTTCTTTCTTACTTGTTCTTTTTTTTCTTTTTTATTCTTTAAAAAAAAAAATGTAAATCTCTCATTATGGTATATTATCTCCAAATCTTATTTTGTCAACAGTTTGCAGACACTTTGTATTTATATTTAGAATTGATTGTTCATAGGCCTCATTGATCTCAACTTATGCACATCAGTTTTTGAGGTCTATAATCAATCAGTTTCAAAAAGAAATACCAATTAGATCAAGGCTTTTCAGAACAGCACACGGGTTAAATGTATTTGTTTAACATGGTAATGATTTAAATACAATTGCCTCGAAAGTTTGTAGGCATGTCAAACGCCTAACCCAAACGTCAAAATTAGAATTGTATATGTATAATAAAATTTTTTACTTATTATTTTACTCTTGATTTGATATGGTTCATTATAACTCATGCAGAATCATCTCTATGAGTCTAGAAAACATCTGCTAAGACAACAGAACAGACTAAAGGCATCATCAGTAGAATTCATCAGGAACAACATTATACATATAGTTTTTGTTTCAGGATGAAGAGAGTCCTTCCTCCCTGACTGACATTAGCATGGCCTGGGTGTGTCGCAACGTGGAAGTGCTTTGTGTCGCACAAGAGGACGGGTCACTGCACTTCCGCCACTGCCCTGTGTTTCCTCAAGAGCTGGCCGATCAGCTTCTGCACAAGATGGCTGATGAGGGGACGATTGCTTTGATGTATTTATTTCCAAGAAAATACAGTCACATATGAGGAAAACTTATTTGTTGTCTGTAACGTCAAACATACGACACATTTGAATAAAAAAATATAATGAATAAATAATAATAATGAATAAAAATAAATAATGAATAGTTTGTTGTATTAGGTTGAAACAGTAAATATATTTTCAATTTCATTTTCATTTTGGCCAATTTATTTACTTTCTTACTTACTTGTTCTTTTTTTTCTTTTTTATTCTTTAAAAAAAAAATTGTAAATCTCTCATTATGGTATATTATCTCCAAATCTTATTTTGTCAACAGTTTGCAGACACTTTGTATTTATATTTAGAATTGATTGTTCATAGGCCTCATTGATCTCAACTTATGCACATCAGTTTTTGAGGTCTATAATCAATCAGTTTCAAAAAGAAATACCAATTAGATCAAGGCTTTTCAGAACAGCACAAGGGTTAAATGTATTTGTTTAACATGGTAATGATTTGAATACAATTGCCTCGAAAGTTTGTAGGCATGTCAAACACCTAACCCAAACGTCAAAATTAGAATTGTATATGTATAATAAAATTTTTTACTTATTATTTTACTCTTGATTTGATATGGTTCATTATAACTCATGCAGAATCATCTCTATGAGTCTAGAAAACATCTGCTAAGACAACAGAACAGACTAAAGGCATCATCAGTAGAATTCATCAGGAACAACATTATACATATAGTTTTTGTTTCAGGATGAAGAGAGTCCTTCCTCCCTGACTGACATTAGCATGGCCTGGGTGTGTCGCAACGTGGAAGTGCTTTGTGTCGCACAAGAGGACGGGTCACTGCACTTCCGCCACTGCCCTGTGTTTCCTCAAGAGCTGGCCGATCAGCTTCTGCACAAGATGGCTGATGAGGGTACGATTGCTCGCTGTAACCCGTTTAGTTGCATGCAAGATCTGTTACCTGATGTTCTGATTAGTGCTGGGCAACGATTAAAGGCACAATATGTAAGATTTTTTTATTAAAATATCCAAAAACCACTAGAACAGTGTTATATATTTTGCTGACTTGTGTACTTGCATTATCCCAAATGTTTCGAAGAATGTTTAAATCCAGAAATAGCAAGGGGCTCATTCCTGGTCATTGCGTCGCCTGCCATTTACGTCGATTTATATATACATAATAAATATACACAGTACACATACATATATTATGTAAACAAAAACGTTTATTTTGGATGCGATTAATTGTGGTTAATCGTTGCGCATCACTAGTCTGATCTGTTTTTATCTCAGGGGTCCTCAATGACAGAACTGTAGGCATCTTCCAGAATCCGGAGCACCTGCGTTTGCGCTGCGCTTACATCCGGTCCTCGCAGCTCTCGGCCGAGGCCTTCAGACTTTCGCTCTGCCCTCACAAGCTCCAAGAGCTCAAGGCTTCACATATACACAGCGATGTCACGATCTCAGATGTTCTCCACAGTCTCACGTCCAACGAGCTCTGCAGACAGGGCCTCCAGACGCTGCTGATGGACGGCTTGCGTCTGTACGGGGAAGCAGGGGAGGAGTCGCTGCAGGCCTCCTTTAACATGCTCCGTAGCGGCGAAAACGTACATGTTGTGCCTTTAATCACATCCAAAATAAAAGTTTTTGTGTACATAATATATGCGTATGTACTGTGTATATTTATTATGTACACATAAATACACACACATGCATGTGTATATATATATTTATACCCTAACCCTAGACATGTAACTATTTTCAAAATACATACTGTATGTGTGTGTATTTATATATACATTAGTGCTGTCAAACGATTAATCGCATCCAAAATAAAAGTTTTTGTTTGCATAACAAATGAGTGTGTACTGTGTATATTTATTATGTATATATAAATACAAACACATGCATGTATATATTTAAGAAAAATATGTTATGTTTATATATTAAATATATTTATATAAAATATAAGAATATAAATATATAAATGTTTATACATGTAAATGTCAAAATATTTGTTCTTGTTTTAATCATGATCTCACTTAATTTTGATGAATTTCTCTTAAAAACAAGACTTCTTATCTCATGTAATTTTGCTTCTCAAATTGTATCTTGATTTAGAAATCTTTAGACATCTGCACTGTTGATTTTGTTTTGTAAAATGAGTTAAAAATAATGGAAATTTATTGGAAGTTGGAGTATGTTAAATTTTTAAAGCATTGCTTAGACAACACACTTAGAGACTGTATTGGCGCATTGTGTTCCATCAAAGACTATAGAATACCCAAGACGTGTCACTCGTATAGTTTTGAGTGGGGAAAAATGCAACGCTCAATATGGCCGCTCTATCGCAGGAAGCCCCGCCTTCTGAATTAAAGAGCCAATCGCTAATCAGTAAAGTCAGAGCGTCACTGCAGCTGCCGTTAGACGCGTCCCGGTTGCTATAGAAACAGTCAGCGCTCTGAGACGTGTGCTCAGGACTGCACATGCGCACTGGCTGATCTAGCCTGAAAAATAAGCTTTTTATAACGCTATTTGAGCAAAAGTAACAACATTTAAGGACTTTGGTTCCATTCAATTCATTCCTTAAATGCTCTTCATAAAAGGTCTTAAAAAGTCTTAAATTCATGTTCATAAAACCTGCAGAAACCCTGATGTAATGTCTTTTAACCTGTGAAGGAGTAGCCTATCACATAATTTGTTGTGTTGTTGTAATAAAATTAGACGTAGTGCACAAAGATTTGGTGGAAAAAAACAGTTTTAGTGCCAAAATGCACACAGGGAAAGCAAAGATGAGCTTTCCGCCTCAGAAAACCATGTCAAGACTTTTTACCAATGCTAATGGCACAGCTGCTGAGACAAAAGATATAGATATAGAAAACGACGGAGACACAGAGGATCATTTTTCTGTGCCAGTCAATGAACACTCAAGTAAAAATGCAGAAAGGCATTTCAGATTCAAGAGTTTGCATGGCTCAGGTATGATCATCGCACACAGAAAATGCTTTGTTACTTTTATTATTTTAAATCAGTTTTCTGTCTGTTTGTTTTTTGTTTGTTTTTTGCGTTTTCATATTAGTTAAAGTTTTAGTAATTTTGTTTGTTTTTGTTTCTGTTATAGTTATTTTAAAACAATACATTTGAAAAGAGAAAAGTTGCTTTGGCAACTGGCTGAAAACAAACAAACAAACAAAAAAACAACGTTTTTTACATTTTATTTTCAGTTAACATTTATTTATTTCAAGTAACAAAAATGTTTTTAATGGTTTCTATTTTTTGTGTTATTTTTAAAACCAAAGATCCTGCAAAATTCCTAGTAAAAATGAGTGCTGTCAAACGATTAATCGCGATTAATCGCATTCAAAATAAAAGTTTTTGTTTACATAATATATGTGTGCGTACTGTGTATATTTATTATGAATATATAAATACACACACATGCATGTATATATTTTGAAAATATTTACATGTATTTACATCCATATGTGTATATTCAAATAATTTATATTATTTATAAATATATTTAATACATAAACATAACATATTTTTCTTAGATATATACATGCATGTGTGTGTAATATAAATATATATACATAATAAATATACGCAGTACACACACATATATCATGCAAACAAAAACTTTTATTTTGAATGCGATTAATCGCGATTAATCGTTTGACAGCACTAGAAAAAATGCAATTCATGACTGGTTTAATCTAATATTCAGTGTCATGATGCAGTAAATACTGATGGGAGAGCAGCCAGTGAAGCAGACAGGATCCACTGCGATTACTATTTCAGATTTACAGTGAAACTGAATGTAAAAATTGGCAGTTCCTGACCAAGCAGCAAAGTGAGCCAGAGTTCTTGCCGATAGTCAAAAGTCTGGTTAACTTGCAAAAAAATACATTTCACTGCCATCCCATTGAGTCAGAACTAACAGCAGATTTTGCCAGGAGCTGCAAATACGTACTAATCTGTAAACACATGCAGGTGGCTGGAGAGTCCAACTTAACCCAGCTGTGTGAGTGCTTGAGGAGATACAGCGACCGTGAGATTTTCATACGGGAGGTTCTTACTCATCTCTACAATCACACCAGTGACATGGAAGAACCTCAGCCACACATCTTAAAGGCACAAAAAAATTATTCTGTTATCTGATCTGTATTTGTTAACTAAATATGAACAGGCTGGTTTGTTAGAATCAGTGATAAACATGAGTGTCAGTTATAAAGAAAATGAAAAATCTATTTTAAAGCCCATATGTTTTAGTATTTATGCTGGTTTCAAATAATTTGGAATTTTAATGCCATTTTCAAGAAACGTTTGCATTTATTGAAAAGCACTATAAAAGTGTTGTTTTGTTACATCTTGCATACATTATTAATTATTTTCAAAATATTCTGCATACCGTTTTTTTTTTTTTATATCAATTCATGAATATCATTATGTTTTTGAGGAGTCGCACCACATGACATTTTAAAGCTTGAACTAACCTTGCCTTGTCACTAAAAGGTCAACTTATCTGATATTTAAAAAAAGTTATTGATCCGCATAAACACAGACTTTATAAAGTCATTTCCTGATTTTTTTTCTGCATGTGGTTGCACCACATGACTTTAATTTGGCCAACAACAATTTCTCAAATATTAATAAGCAGTGAAGCAAAAATGTATATCAAAAATATAGTTCAGAAATGAATTCTCATTATAGAAGAGGTGTGTTTGAAGTCATTCTGTGTATAAATTGAATTTAATTGGAATGTTTTAAATGAATGAATAAATTCAGATAAAATGAGTAATTTTGTAAGGGACTATAAGATCATTTTTTTAAGATGGCATAGTTTAAATTACATCATGACATCTTATACAATGCTTTAAAACTTCCCTTTATTGTAAAAGATCTTGGCTCATTTTTAAAAATGCATGAATAACATTTACATAGCGTGCCCATGTGTCTGTTCCTGTTTCAGCTGGTTTTGGCTGGGATGCGACACCACACAGATTCTCTGCACGTTCAACTTGTGGCCTCTGCGTGTGTGTTTAACCTGACCGTACAGGAGCTGGTGCTGGGGATGCCCTTACGCCTTCTGGGAGATGTAGTTCAGCAGCTTCTTACAGCCATGAAGAACTTCCCAAACCACGAGCAGGTAGAACCATCCCAAACGGTTTGAGCCATAAACACTAAAGGAATAGTTCATCCAAAAATGACATTTCTGTCATCATTTAGTCTCCCTCAAGTGGTTCCAAACCTGTATGAGTTGCTTTGTTCTGTTGAACACAAAAGAAGATATTTTGAAGAATGGTAGTTGCTGGTCCGCATTGACTTCCATGGTATTTTTCTCTCTCTATGGTCCTAGTATCAGTATTTAAACAGTTTATTTTTTTGCTTTTAGTTGCAGAAGAATTGCCTGCTTACTCTTTGCAGTGATCATATCTTACAGGTCGTCCCATTTGACAGGTCAGTCCACACACATTTCCTCAGTGCACTTGTTACTGTACATTGTTGGAGTGGCTTAACGCCGTCTTGACCCCTGTTCCCTGGTAGATACGAAGCTGCTAAGCTGATAATGATGTTGCTGGGGAATCATGAAGATCAGACGGTGCAGAGAATGGCGGTGGCTGTAGTCTCCATACTGGTGTCTAAGGTCATTACAGCAACACCTGCATTCTGTTCAGTGTCTAAAACCAGGACAAACCTAACCCTAACAACAGTATTATTAAAGAAATAAAGATCTATATATTCATTTTGCTGTGTTATCTAGATAAAAGTGAATTCAAAAGTAAAAAAAGGTATTGTGTGAGAGACGTATATGCAATTATGCAGACATATCAGCATAGACTTTTAAAATCTGCTTATATGATCAAAAATCTAGTATCATATCATTTACACTTTTGGTACATTATTACTGAGTAAAAGGCTCTCTCACACTTCATTGCAGTTGAGCACAGAGGAGATCTCAGAACTGGGTGCAGAGGCGTTTATAATGAAGGTAAATGTAAAAAAAGTAATTTTATTTGCTGTTGCTGTTTTAAACAGTGCTGTGCTAAAAATCCTTTACCTAATTTGCCATTCCTGATAAAAAATGACTGGCTTTTTAAAAATTGCGTGTAAATCTCTCATTATGGTGTTATCACTATAATTATGCTATAAAATTGGTTAAAAAGCATTATTTGTTTATCATTTTGGCAATGTTCACTCCAAAACTGAGGTGCATAAACTCAGATCAATGAGCCCTATGATCAATCAGTTCCAAAAAGAAATACAAAACCTATGCTTATTGAAAGAAAACAAGCTGATAAAAAGATTGAATCCAGTGTTTGGTAATAATATAGCATAACAATATTTTTAAGCAATTTTTGTAGGTTGGTAACGTCGCAAGTAGGGCTGCAACAAACGGTTATTTTGATGATCGATTAATCTAGCGATTATTAGACCGGTTAATCGACTAATCGTCGATTATTCCACGGATTAATAAGTAGACTTTGATTGATTATTCAGCTTTTGCAGATAGTTAAAATATTGAGCTATACTGTATATATTCTAACAAGGTAAGTACTTCAGCTTTTGAAAGTCATATTATGTAATTACAATTATACAATTAATTTACACAAATAAATATATTTGGCACACAAAATGAGATGACAGAGAAACTCTCTCATTCACCATTTAATTAGCTAAATGAAAAAGTAACTGAATGACATCATTCTGCCTAACATCTCCTTTTGTAAGTAATATGGATAAGAAACAAAATAAAGGTAAGTGATAAGACGCTTTATTTTTGGATAAACTATTTTATTCACAAAATAACCTCTCTTAAAATACAGTATAGGGCTATGATAATCAAAAAAGTCCTGAGATAGATCAAGATCAAGATCCATCACTTTAATTAAATAATTTTTTTTCCCCCACTAATAAAAATATTTTATCATTAGCTAGCTCCACACTGGAGAGCTGCTTTATAACAGAAAATAAAGTTGTAATTCTAACTGAAGGCGACACTGACTCTGGTTTTTCATGTTTAATACTGTAAAGCTGCTTGATTTAAGGCTATCTATTGCATAAAGTACTATATAAATAAACGTGACGTGACTGGACTTTACTGGAGTACTGAACTGCAGAGCTCGTGCAAGCATCCACATCGCTGTAATCAGATGCTTTCTTAACTACTGCTTTCTCACCGCTGAGAAAGCAGTAGTTGTTGTGTTTGTTTCGTTATTTAGAGGAAAAGCGCACAGCATATGTTTACATATTCATCCCAAACGCCGCTCAGCAGCTTCAGGTTTGGCTGCGTTTGCGCTCAAATGCGCTGAATCGCTGTGTCTTCTCTTGAATTGCATTTGGGAGCGCTGATTTACAATCTGGCGCTACAGCGCCACACTGGTCAAACCGCATTACTGCAGGCTCTTTCATTAGGTCATATGAGTTTAAACGACTACTCGACAACAAAAATATTTGTCGACAATTTTTTATTGTCGACGTTGTCGATAATGTCGACTAATCGTTTCAGCCCTAGTCGCGAGTGTAACAAAGTGTGTGGGGGGGAGGGAATCTCAAAAACCACAAATAAATAAATAAATTGCTATAACACGTGTGAGCAAAGTCTGTAGGTTTTAGTCCAATGCCCTAATATTATTTAGCATTTGAAAGAGAAAATCCTCTCCAGGTCAAAATGACCAGAACACAACATGAGGATTAAAGGGTTAGGGTTAGAAAATTGGAGTTTGTGGTTTTTAGTTCATGTCTATACTAGTGTACCCCAGATCAGAAAATATAAACATTTTACAGCCTTTATCATAAGGTTAAATGAACCAAACATATTCAAGACTTGTACACAGTGTCAAATAAAATTGTCCATCCAATGAAATATAGAATAAGAAAGTCCCTCAACCTAGTACCGCCTGTCTATTAATAGCAAATAGCAAGTCATCCCAGACTGCATTGCAATCTTAAGGTATTAAAAAAGGACAGCCCCATTTATTTCAGCAAGTACATCAGCACAGGTTCTTCAAACCATATCATGTGGCCTCACACTAACCATACTGTCACATGCATTGTGTTCTCTCTGTTCCCTAAAGTTTTATATGATATGTGAATGGCTAAATGACGCTTCTTTTGCAAATGACTGAATGGACAGATGAATCATGAGTAGACCCAACCAATGCATTTATTCCCCTTTCTGTGCAAGCCCAGCAGTTGCTGAGTATCGTCCAGCAGAAGGCCTCTCTGGGTGTAGTGGACTCCACTCTGAAGTTTGCATTGAGCGCTCTGTGGAACTTGACAGATGAGACGCCCACCGCGTGTCGCCATTTCATTCAGTGCCAGGGAATAGAGCTCTACATGGAGCTGCTGGAGGTGAACACACACACACTTACACTCACACATAGCTAAAGGCTGGAATATACTGCACTCCATTTTTTCCAGATTTGAGATCTCATAGAAAATTGCGTAGAGTATGATAGACACAGACACAGAAATACGTTTCCATCCAGTTGAGGGATATCAAACACGCTTGTTTCTTTGAGCTGATTTTAGAAGACATATTGTTTACATTTGTCATGTGTCTCCTAGCAACAAGGCACATGTTTCTGAGAGCCATTGGAAAAGAGAGTTGTGACACTTCCATACATTTTCTTTCAAAATGCGGAAGTGATGTGTGTCGTGGGGCAACCAATAGTTTCAAACACAGAATATTTCCAGCACTGAACCCCATTCATTTAGTTTCCCAAATACATTTGCTGCTAAGCTGATGGAATGACAGCATTTTTAGTTTTGTTGACATTTTATCACTTTAGCTGAGCTCTCATGCATCTAGTTAATGCCAGTTTATTTAAAGGGTTAGTTCACCCAAAAATAAAAATTTGTTCATTAATTACTCACCCTCAAGTCATTCCAAATCCATAAGACCTCCGTTCATCTCCGGAACAGAAATTAAGATATTTTTTGATGAAATCTGAGAGCTTTCTGACCCTCCATAGACAGCAATGTAACGTCAATGTTCCCAGGTCCAGAAACGTAGTAAGAACCTCGGTAAAACAGTCCATGTGACAACAGTGGTTCAACTGTAATTTTATGAAGCTACGAGAATACTTTTTGTGCGCAAAGAAAACAAAAATAACTTTATTCTTTATTCAACAATTCTTCTCCTCCAAATCATGTCTTCCGCCGTTATCAAGCGCACACGCATGCATCGTGGTACTCTTGATAATGGCGGGAAAAAGTATTCTCGTAGCTTTGTAATTTTACAGTTGAGCCACTGATGTCGCATGGACTGTTTTACCGATTTTCTTACTACGTTTCTGGGTCTGTGGGATTTTTAGCATTTTTATTATTGACAAAACTTTTTTTAAGGGGTTGTATTGAGCAGTTGCTGGCATTTGTTGATATTTGCTTATTGTGCATACTTATGTGAATGTCTTAATATAACATCATGATCAGGGTTGAGTAAATGGTCACAGAATTTACATTTTTAGGTGAACTATCCCTTTAAGTGTTTGTTAATTTCCTGTATCTTCTCATTACTCTCTCTTCTCCTCCACAGTCTTATTATTCGGAGTCCTCCGTCCAGCAGAAGCTCCTGGGCCTTTTGGTAAATATATTTTATGTGTTATATGTTTGGTAAATGTATTTTTTACCATGCTATATGGTAAAATTGGAGGAAATGAATTGATTAACTACAAAGTAAACACTGACGTGACCACATACAAATCTAAATTAACTTAAAAGGACTGTGTTGAACAATAGTTTAATAATTGTAACAAATAAAGTACCATAAACGACTCAGAATATATGCTTTTTTGCTGTTTTACTGTAGTTATTTGTTTTGAAGTAATTTAACAAATGTTTAGAATTGCATAAATGTTATAAAACTTTCATCTAATTTGGTTTTAAATGTATAGAATGTTAATATTCTAGTATTGGTTGCTTGTTGATAGCGTAGTAGACTAATACCATTTTTCATTGTTCCTGCATCCTAGTGCATTAACTAAAAGTGATTAATTGAGCCTTATTGTGTCTTAAAGTGTTAGCAGGGGCAGTTTGGACTCCTTGAAACCTTTACAAATGAAACTTCTTCGTGCTATGGTTTATCTACACTCTAAAAAATGCTGGGTTGTTTCAACCCAGCCTTGGGTCAAATATGGACTAACCCAACTTTTGGGTTAAAAATGTAATTAAAAAATGTAACCCAACAGTTGGGTTAGTCCATATTTGACCCAAAGTTGGGTTGAAACAACCCAGCATTTTTTAGAGTGTATGTTGACGTTTATCACAATTGAACTGTGTGGATTTTATTATTATGTTCTAGACGTTTATATGCTTTAAATTACGAATAGATTGCTCAACACTGAAAGCAGTGTATCTTTTCCCCTCTCTGTGCTCCAGAATAATGTAGCAGAGGTGGAGGAGCTGCGGATGGAGCTGATGAGTGAGGATCTGGTGGAGCACATTGTTTCACTCCTGATCAACCCAGTGGTGGAGGTGGATGTCATTTACTTTGCTGGAGGGATCCTGGCTCATCTCGTCTCAGTCAGGGGGCCGGTGTGGAGTCTGGATGCTGAGCTACACAGCACAGTGCAGGAGAAACTGGTGAGTGTGTGTGTGTGTGTGAGTGAGTGTGTGTGTGTGTGAGTGTCTCAGTCAGGGGGCCGGTGTGGAGTCTGGATGCTGAGCTGCATAACACAGTGCAGGAGAAACTGGTGTGTGTGTGTGTGTGTTGTCTGTTTTTGTATCTTAACTCTGTACATTGAATCTCTTTGATTTTAGCACTCTTCTGTCCTGTCATGGAGTTCTCCTGAGCATGCAATGGTTTCTTACCGGTAAGTGTCTTAATCAAAACACAAAATAAAATATTTTTGGGATTTTTTTTACTCAACTATCCCTTTAAATATCAGGTTGTTTTTCACCAAAACAATTGATGCCATTGCAAAATAATCAGAAAGCCAGTCGTTTTTTTGCTGGCACTTTTGTAAGTGATAATGTGAGTCTCAGTGTATGGTCATTAAATTTAATTCACCTACATAACTATTTATTAACATCTTTGTTTAGTATTTCTTATAAACAAGAAGGTTTATGTCCATAATGTAGAAGGAAGAAAATCTGAAGGCTAAAGACTGTACTGGTCACTCTTTTCCATGCATATACAACCCTGTTTATTGTATTTGAATGAAAAAACAGTATTGGAACAGTCTTCAAAATTCTACAGCAATTCCCTGTTATATTTGCTGTTGTTTTTCACAGATGTAAGTAAAAAAGTAAGCAATGATAATGGTGTAATTTAGTTGACAGTGTGATTATAGTCACGTTCTGTTGTTGTAGCCCCTCAGTACTGTAATATGCTTCAGAGTGAAGGAGGAACAGACATACTGAGGGTCCTGAGCTCCCATCCAGACACACACAGTGACGTGAAGTGTCTGACAGAAAACATCCTGAAGATCCTGGAGCGAAATCTTCATCCTGCAAACTGTGATGCATTATCAGTGTTAAATAAAGCAGGATAAATAACTTTCCACATGCTATGATCATGTCTCGTATTTTTTTGACTGTACTAAAGCATGAAAATACCATATTTGCAGATATTTAAAGGGGTCCTATTATGCTCTTTTACAAAGTCTTGATTTTGTTTTGGGGGTGTACTAGAAGCCAGTTATTCTACTTTGGAATATGCGTTCTGTGTCGGAATGTCTGTTGTTGGTTTTTTTTGGTCTGTGTGACTCCGCCCACTGCAGATTTACCCAATAGTATTTTCCACCATTTGGTGGAAAACACAACGTATCGCAGCCATGGAAGCCAGCAAACGAACTGAGTCAGAGATCATAGATTCTCCCCTACCTAAAAAGATCTATGACTATTAAAACACAGATAAATCGACTCGTCAACTTGCAGTGTAACCCTCGTCGTCTTCCATTGTCAGTAGCGCTCGTTTCTGTTGCGCGTCCTCAATCTGGCAACCCACGTGAGCATTGAGTCTGAGGAGTAGGAGGCGAAAGAAAAAACTCTCTTCAATATTGTGAATTTGGATTGCAGTCTCCATTTTAACTGCTATCTGTCAATATTACATATTACACCTTTAAGCAATAACTCTTAAATATCTGTATTTTCAGAATTTCAGAACACTGATTTTCTTCATGTTTGGTCTGTGTTTTTTCTAGTGGAGGATTTTCATTGACGTCACAGAAAACAACTGGATTCATAAAGGGATGTGCCACTATGTGTCCTGTTAGACATTTCAAAACATTTTAGATTCATTAAAAAATAGTGAAATAATGTTGTTTTTTTCAGTTTGTTATTAAAGTGTGAAATTTGTGAAAATGTGAAAAAGTGGTTTGTTTTTAAATAGGTTTCACAAACTCTTGCTATTGGTCTGACAAACACATAGTCCCACCCCAAACTTCTGTGATATATAAGGTTTCAACTTCTTCAATTCTTAAAAAAAAAAAATTTCCAGATGAAGTATTACACTATCCATAATCTCGTAGACAGATCCACCAATCAGATAAATAGCTGTTACCATGGAAACTGGAATCATGACAACACAACTTCAGAGGCTGCATCCTTCAAAGGCTTCTTTCGAAGACCATGGTGACAAAGGCTGTCCCATTTCGAAGGCTCCTTCAAATGTGGCCTCGAAATGCATTCATCATTACCCAGGCCACGGAGGATACAACTAATGTTCGCTTGTCAACTTCGAATATATAATCATTGTTGAGTATGGGATGGAGAAAGGGGAAAAAGAGAAAATAAGATTACAAAAATAATCACACAAGAGCCCAGTAGGTGGTGGTATGCAACTCTGTAACTCACCAATAAACAACAAGAACTTGTACTTAAGTTCAGTTAAAACCATATTCTTTCACTTATTGCATTTACAAGAAAATATATATATATTTTTTTTTTTTACTCCATTACAATTTCATACAGACTTAAAAGTACATAGTACAAGTGCATATTTCATAAGTCACCATTACCTAAATCTTTCCTCAATGATAAAGTAAAAATTGTATTTTTCTAATCAACCATGCTCACTTTTATTTAAACAGCCAATTAAATGTATTTTAATGTAAAATATAATTGGTCTGTGGTCTACTATGAGAATATGATCTTTCATCCTTATGAAGAGAATAGTTTAAAATAGATGACAGTTGCTGTTGTTCTCAAGTGAGCTTGAGAAATAACCAAACATTATTAAATGACTGCAATGCTTGTTTCTTGTCCAAAAAAGTATCATATGTTGGGAAAAAAGGCATTTGCTAGTTAAATTCTTTCTTTCAATTGCCCCATCAAGTGGGACTTTATATGTTTTTATAAATATATAAACGCTATTATATTTATTAAAATGATTATTAATACATTTTTAAACAATGTATATTTAATAATTGTTGTATATTTACTTAATATACTAAACATACAGTATATACTAAATATACAGCGGGTAAAATAAGAATTGAACACGTCACCATTTTTCCCAGTAAATGAATTTTTAAAGGTGCTGTTGACATGAAATTTTCACCAGATGTCGGTAACAACCAAAGTACATAGTAAATATAATAATCTTTTGAACATTTTTGAAGAATGTGGCTAACCAAACAGTTGACGGTCCCCATTGACTTCCATAGTTTGGAAAAAAAAGAATACTGTAAAAGTCAATGGGGACCAGAAACTGGTTTGGTAACCCTCATTATTTAAAATGTCTTCTTCTGTGTTTAAATGAAAAAATAAAATAAAAATCATACAGGTTTGGAACAACATAAGGGTGAGTAAATGAGATGATTTTCATTTTTGGGTGAACTAGCCCTTTAAGACAAAGTTACTATTATACCTATTCAAGCTATATAGACTACTTATGATTTTGTGTTTCAACAGCCTGTCGCCATTCACTTCTATTGTATGGATGAGATCAGCTTGGAAAAGGATGAGTGGATGAGTGAATTTTAATCTTTTTTTTATTTTTATCAGTTTATTGAATTTCCATTATCAGATGCACTGCATTTTTACACCCGTAGTAAGAATCTTACCTGGAATGTTTGGCTGTGTATCAACAAACCACCAATAATCCACTCAACCTTTGAATCTGAACTGTGCTTGTTGCCTTGCTGTGCTATCAGACAATGACCTCGCAGGCAGCGCTTGCAATGAAGGGACCTTCTGAATCTGATTTTGGACAGATTTGAATAATCTACAACAAAATGCTGATATCTAAGCACATATTTAAGTTGAAAAATTTGTTCAAAAACAAACATTTACACACAAACTGCAACTTTCAGGTGTCATTTGATTTTTTTTAGCTCAACAGTCAACAATCTCATTTCGTTTTTTCGCTCGGCAATCACACGCAAAGGATTGTGGGATAGGCACAGGATTCATCTCGATCAGATCAGATGAAGGTACAGTAAGGAAATAGATGCAATGTGACACGATCATTGGATTCAGCCCGTGTCTGCTGCTCATGATTGTGATTTCTGTCGCTCAGTCAAAATGATTGTCATTAGTATTCTCTAAATAGAAATGGTCACTAGTATCATTATAAATAGTGATGTCCTCCTTAACAAACACCACTAATAAATGTGTGTCCATGAGGAGTTTAATGTACTGTACCTCCTTACAGTAATCTCACTATTTTCCACTGCCTCTATCCTCAGTTACTTTCTCCCTATAGTCGTGACTGAATACCCACAACTCATCTGATGTGCTGTGCTTGCATGGTCTGCCTCTTCCTTTATCTTTTTGTCATCCAATACCTTTTGTACTTATGCCATATTTATTTTCATCCTCACTCTTTGAAAATGGCTTCAAAGCTATTCACTTTTATTTAAATAAATATACAAATAGTTGACATGTTTCTGTAACGAGCACTTTAAAATCACTTACACATTGCCAAATACTTAATATTGAGACAGTGTGCACTGACAGCTGTACAGATGTATTATAATAGTACATATGCTGTAGTATATATGCAGATTATAATTCAGATTTAAAATACCTAAACAATTAGAGTACACACTAATACCCCAACAGTATTATCATGTCAATTTTATATATACATAAAAAAATTGGAAGTAAGTTTGGAAAGAAGTAAGTTTGAACATTTGAAAGTTTGAAAGGAAGGAAAGAAGGAATGCCTCTGCTTCCAACCACTAAAATATGGAAATAACTTTTACTGTACCTTCTGATCACAATGCAATAAAGTCAGGTTCATCCAGGTTCATCAGCATTTTTGTTGTTTTCCAGTACAAATGTCTAAAGATTCTGAAATCAAGATGCATTTACTTGAGATGCAAAATGACATGAAATAAGAAGTCTTGTTTTTATGAGAAACTGATTAAAATGAAGTGAGCTCATGATTCAAAATGAACAAATATCTGCCAATGGGCTCAGAAAAAATCAACTTAAAGGGGTCATATGATGCGATTTCATTTTTTCCTTTCTACTTTCATTCCCCATTGACTGCTTTAATATTTAATATGTTATTATTTATCTGTAATCCAATATTCACAAAAAAGAGGTGTTTTTTTAAATGTGCAGTAATTTCTGAAAAAGTGAAAGTGTTTAATGTGAGCAAAAACATTATTCACTGTAATTTCTGGGCGATTCACAGCTGTGTTCTCCTTCTGCCTGCAGTTAATGTTACAGCGGGGCTCCGGGTCCAAATAAACTACTACAAAGCCAGTGAAAGGTAAAAGCAGTGGATGCAGTGGATGAGATCTTATTTGCGCTTGATCTTTCATTGTTGTGTGAATAGTTGCAAAATAATTAGCTACACTCGAGGGAATACATCTGGGCCAATTAAGAAGCAGGAGATGTCTGGATTATTCCTCACACTGTGCGTGTTTGTTTTATTGGTCTGTGTGTGAGTGTTTAGCGATTAATCAAAATAAATGTTTTTGTGTACATAGGCTGTGTATGTACTGTGTATATTTATTATGTATATATAAATACACACACATGCATGTATACATTTAAAAAATTGTATGAATATAAATATATACATGTAAATATTTTCTAAATATATACTGTATGTGTGTCTTTATATATACATAATAAATATACACAGTACACACACATATATTCTGTACAAATTTTTTTTATTTTGTATACGATTAATCGCGAATAATCGTTGCCCAGCACTATTTGAAAGTGATGAAAACTAATAAAAAGTTTAATACACATATGTTAAGTAAACGAAAGTCAGGGGCGTAGCCATCATTTCAGAAGTGAGGGGGACAGAAATGTCAAATGTAATACTTTTTTTTTTTTTTTGTCTAATTGACAAGTTTTATTTTATTTTATTTTTTTCTTATCTCTTACATTTATTTGGCTAAGAAATCAAATTCACTGCTGGACAATTACCAATAATTTGTATTCTGTAATATTTTTTCCCTATATTTTTCTAATGGCAATTTTATGATGTTTTCATTCATATACTGCAGAATAAGGCAGAAAATATATTTTATAGTTTCTATAGGCTAGTGTAATAAATACTATGTCAGTTAGCAGTGCATTA